TTTTAATGTAACTTACAGTGGAATATTATTAAATAGTAATTTGGCGCGTATTTTAGGTACGCCGTTTTAGTTTTTAATAAATTAATATGCTAGTTACATTAAATAGTAAAACGGCGCGCCATAGAGTAGGCTGTGGTTTATATTTTTTAAGAATAATATTTTATTTTCATATGTAAAATAAAAATGTAAAGTTTTTGTTTTGTTTTATTTAGTCAAAATTAAAATTATTTCTAATGTAGTTGGCCTAGGCTGCTTGTCCCCATTGATAAATATTACCTAACAAACGCTTATTTTGACGCTTGACAGATTCACAAAATAATAGAGGTTAAAAAGATATATTCTTTACCTATCTCTGCAAAAGATAGAAGGGGAGATGCGCAGAACTCAATTTTGCGTTCTCGGTCATTCTTATGGACCCCCCACTCCTCAAATTTATATGGAGTTGAAGCTCCTAAATATAATCTTTTTACTAACAACGATTGTCTATAAGCTTATAGAAAGTTATAAATTTGCTTACAGATGTGCGCAGAATTGACCTATAATTGTCATAGCGAAAAAGCACCCACTAATAATTCTAGTCAACAGCAATGTGTATCTGGGATATTTAGCAGTCAATTTATATGCAAAATCCCCTCCGCTGAATCCTAAAATGTCGTCAAAAGTTACTACAGTTATAGTGGCTGCTTTTTCGCCATGACAATTAGTCATTTTTGACTAATTTGCTTTAAAGCTGGGTTCTAACAGAGAAATAAGGTAATATAATTTAATTTAACTTTAAAAGTAATTTAATTTAATTTACTTGCGTTCATACAAAAAATAACGTAATTTGATAGTGTTTGAAATTTTTTTCTTAAAAAATTAATGAAAAAATTTTATGATATATATAACAACTTTCCGGCAATGGTTTTGAGAAAATAAATAATAATAAACTTTCGTTTAATAAAAAATAATCTCTAGAAACGATCACATACCCGTTAAAATTACCTGCTCTTCTACTATTGGTTGTATTGTAATTATTGCAAAAACAAATGGATGCCTTGAAATTTAAATTAAATTTAGTGTTAATTATAAATTATTTATTTTATATTACATAAGGTATTTATTTAGTTATTTAAGTCTATAGGACACCTTAAATTGGTATTTGTCCTAAAAAAGTAAGCAAAAAGATTTTTAAATTGTTATTAACCTTATAATTTATTTAAAAATAAAATAACAAGTATCTAAGTTTTAGTAAATGTTTGCAATATTTTATCCTTAGATATATCACTCACTATGAGGTTCCTACGCACTAAAATTAAAATCGATAATCAGATTTATGTCTGTTAAATAAAAAAATTTCATTGTCAACAAAACAGTCTTTCGCAGAGTCTATGGTTGTGATAGACTTTGTAATGAAAGTTCTTGTTTCGCTTAATATTTAATAAAGTAAAAATGTTCTAGCTTTTATAAACTTAACTTCTCTCTCGAGAAGTATCAATTTAAGAAACAGTGAGAACAAAATGATCTGGTGTGGTTTTTGATCTTGAGGTCGAGGAAATAGGTTCACCAAGAAAGCTAGAAGGTACAGGTTGTTTTCTAGATTATTTCGGCCAAATTGGGATAGCAAGTGTTCAACAACGGTTGATTGGAGTCGACAATTTTTGCGGAGAAACATCTTTAAAGACAATATCTGATTTTGATGAATTTTTTTATTATCAAAAAAAATTAACAAATATTACACGTCAAATATGACGGGGACATGTCCCCGTGCATGCACTCCCATATTATTTATTTTTACTTACTTGGTCTAAGACCAACGGTCTTGCTAAAGTAAAAATGTTCTAGCTTTTATAACCTCATACTCAAGAAGTATCAATTTAAGAAACAGTGAGAACAAAATGGTCTTGTGTGGTTTATGATCTTGAGGTCGAGGAAATAGGTTCACCAACAAAGCTAGAAGATACAGGTTGTTTTCTGGATTATTTCGGCCAAATTGGAATAGCAAGTGTTCAACAACGGTTGATTGGAGTCGACAATTTTTGCGGAGAAACATCTTTCGCAAAATCTATGGTTGTGAAAGACTTTGTAATGGAAGTTCTTATTTCGTTTTATATTTAATAAACTAAAAATGTTCTAGCTTTTATACTTAACTTCATACTCGAGAAATATAAATTTAAGAAACAGAGCGAACAAAATGATCTTGTATGGTTTATGATTTTGAGGTCGACGAAATAGGTTCACCAACAAAGCTAGAAGGTTCCCTTTTTAGTCTCTGTTGTCTTTATCTATATCTATGTTGGGCTGGGTTGGGCGGTAAGTCTGTTCTATTGGGGCGTGTTTCTCTTTCAAATTTCCCTTTTTACTCCATGATGGTTCGAATTATCCTTGTTAGAGAGTTCCAATTTGTCTCGGATTCCATCAGTAGATCGGATATATTCTCCACCGTGGGTTCCCATTTCTATCCGGATTGTGGCATCCTGTCTGTTGTCCTCCCATCTCCTGCATTCAAATAGGGTATGTTTTGGAGTGTCCACTTCGGGGCAGAACCAACAGTCTGGGCTTTTTAATTTGGCGATTTTATGGAGATAGGATCCAAAGGCGTCATGGCTACTAAAGGTCTATGTACGGTAGAAATCTAGTTCACCCCATTTTCTGTCTTTCCACTGTCTGACGTCTTTCACGAACACCTTTGTCCATCCATGGTATTCCTACCTTTTGCTTTGCCATGTTTCCATGGTCGTGTATTTTATTTCCTCACTTTCTTCCCTTCCCTCGTTGGTTGTACATTTGTACCACTTCTGCTAGCTTCAGCTTGATTGGGAGGGTCGAAGCTATTGCTAGAACTGCCTCCGTTGGTGCAGTTCGGTATGCCGAACATATTCTGATCGCAATGTTGCGATTTATGCTTTCTAGCATTTTTTCGTAGTGTTTGTAATTGGTTGCTTCAATCCACATTGGGGCTGCATATGCGATTACGGACATTGCGGATGCCGCGAGGACCCGTCTCAACGTTGCTAGTAATCCTCGAGATAACATTTATCGTTTTTTTGGCTTTTTCGCATGTTTTCTTGATGTGTTCCGTCATCCTCATATTTTTATCTATATGCACCCCCATGTATTTCAGTGATGAGCTGCTTTTGACTTCCACCACCATGTTGATTTTCAACTCTTTTATGGTTTTTCTACCTGCCAGCAATATCATCTCAGTTTTTTTCCGCAGCTATTGTAATGCCCATTTCTCTTAATTCTATGCCGACTCGATTGGTCGCGTAGGTGGCGTTTTCCTGGAGAAGAGGGCTGCTCCGGGCTTTTACTATTATTGCAAGGTCATCTGCGTAGGCTATGAGCTCGATGTCATCCCCATATTAATTTGTAGCATCCTTAAGGTTCCATAATGTCGGTCCAAGGACCGAGCCCTGAGGTACACCGCACTTGGTTTCGATAAGCAATCCATTTTCTGTCTTGATGTATCGTTCGGACAGATACGATTGTATTAGTCTGACTAGATAAGGGCTTACTGCTTTTTCCTTGAGAGCGGTTATTATTTCAGGCCATGGAGCTTAGTTGAATGCATTCTGGATGTCGAGGGTGATCATGGCACAAAACTCCTGGTTCTTCGTTTCCTTCTCCTTTATTTTTTCTTTTATGCTTTTTATGTGCATGAGAGCATTGATAGTTGAACGCCCTGGTCTGAATTCATATTGGTTTTCATGGAGAAGCTTTCTTTCCTCTATTTCCTCCTCGAGACGTTGTTTAAGTAGTGCTTCCAGCAGTTTTCCCATTGTGTCCAGCAGGCATATTGGTCTGTATGCCGCCGCCGGTAGCGCAGGGTCTTTCGGAGGATTTTCCACCAAAAACAGTCTAGCCGTTTTTCAAATATTGAGGAAGATTCCGGTAGTGATGCAGTTGTTCATGATTTTTGCTATTTCTGCTGGGAATTTGATTGCGACTAATTTTGTTATTTCCGGGAGGATGTGGTCCGGGCCCGGGGCCTTTCTTTTATTCTTTTGGCGGCCACGGTAATTTCTTGCTCTGTTATCAGCGGGATGTCGTTCGCATTGACATTGATCTGCTGCCATGTGTTTTTTGGATTTTTGAAGAAAAGCTCTCTCTGTCTCAGTGTTTCTTCCTCGCCTATTCTTATGGTTAGTCTTGTCTTAAGCCTTCCAGCAACAATCTGGTAGGCCTTTCCCCAGATGTCGCTGTTAAGGTCAGAACATAATTGTTTCCAGTCTTTTTTGTGTTTTTTATTTCTTGTTTAAGTTCCCTCCTTTTTTCTTTTTACTCTAATTGCGCTTTCACCATGATATTTTCTGGAGCTATCCTGCTTTTACTCAGTCTTTACGCGATTCTAATTTTATTATTGCATTCGTGTCGCAATTCTCCAATTTTGGTTGTCCACCAGTAGGTAGGGGAGCGGCCTTTTAGACGGTTTTTCCGCTTGGGGAATGCCATATCGCACTGTTGTGTTATGATCTTCATCAGTTTTATTGCTGGATCCGATCTCTCCATGTTTATATTTTTGAGCTTGTCGTGCAGGCTGTCGGTAAAAATTGTCAGACCGTCTTCGGTAATTTTCCATCCTTTGGGGGCTGTGGAGGTTAGATACATAGGTTTGGCTGCGTTTGTTAGGGTATAGAGGATTGTCCGGTGGTCACTAAGATTTTCGGTGTTTTCCTCTACGTGCCATTGGTGTAAGATATAGCATCTCTGCTCTATAGCTAGCGTAATGTCTATAAAAGAGCTGCCATTTGTATTTACGAAGGTTGGTATAACGTTATTATTGATTGGGACCAGGTTGCTTTTGGCAACACATTCTTCAAGGATTCTCCCCATCTCGTTCATGACACGTGACCCAAATATAGTTGCTTTGGCATTCAGGTCTCCTCCTATAATTGTCTTTCTTTTTGCCGTATTAATGTATCGCTTCAAATTCTCCAGCAATTCGTTAAAGTCTGCTGTCTCTCCGTTAACACAAATAAATAATTAAGTACTCTTTATATTATAAATATTTATTATATAATTAAATAAACTACATTACAACTAACTCTAATAATTTAAAATAAACAAAATACAAATAAAGGTAAATTACCGTAGGTAATATTGCTGAGTGCTTGAAGCAGATAATAAAATTAAGACATAATATAATAACAATAATTTATCACATTTTTACATTTAGTTTAGACATGGCTTTTGACATTTTAAATTTATGGACTGGGTCAAACCCATAGTACTTTTAAAGATGAATTTCTGCTCCCTTCTTCAACAGGGTTTGAGTGCCATCTATTGTGAGCTGGAGTAGACGTTTTAGGTGTTTGCCATAACTTAATATCCTCAATATTTGCGTTTCTGTTATCCTTACTTTTTTCTATTGTGTCGTTTGGCACTAATGTACAATCAATTAAAGAGCTGGGTTCCAATGAGCTTAAAGAACTGTTGTTGTGAAGCATGCTTCTAAGCAAAGCATTTTTGGTGGAAACTTCGTCTAACGCTGTGGAATTAAATAAAGGTACTCCTACATCTTGGAAAGAATTCATCGAGGAAAACCCGCTTTCATCCTCAACCGAACTGATGCTTCCAGCAGGAGGTGAATTGGACTTTTCAGATTCTTTGCACCTATATTTTTCAGATTTCTGGCTGCTAAACGAAATATTTTGAAGATCCTTATTAAAATCATGTATAGTTGACGATGTGAAGGCAGTTTCATTTTCAGCGAAACTGCCTCTCGCAGAATCTATTGTTCTGATAGGCTTCGTAATAGAACTTCTTCTTTCGGTTAATTGAAGTGACAACTTTCTATTTAAAGCTGTCGAAACTTTAACTTCATATTCGGGTAGTAATAATTTAGGAGAAAGTGAGAATGAAGTGGTCCTTTGTGGTTTGTTATCTAACGGTGGAGGAAATTCTTTTGCCAAGGAAGCCAAGAAGTCCATGTCGTCTTCTGGTTCTGCATTCATTTGGGCCAAATCAGGCTCACGAGTGTTCAACAATGATTGAGCGGTTCGTAGGAGCCTAAACGCTTCTTGCGCCAATTTTTCTGGAGAAACTTCCTCGCAGTCAATATCTTGTTTCTTTGGTCTTCTCCTAAAATAATAATAAGAAATAATTAAATCAATAACATTTGTTTGTACTTACCATGACATATCAGTATAAGACATTGACTTATCAGTAAAAGCAAAACTTTCTGTAATCTTTTCCTCTTGAGTTTTTTGACTGTCCAATGTCATTTGATGTTCGCTTTTTGATCTAGGCACAGCCTGTTTGCTTTTGTTTACCAGTATTCCCAAACTATGATGCGTTTTCTCCAAAAATGCCACTACTTGCTTCATAACGGCTCTATGCATTTCTCTACTCTTTTCAATCTAAAAAAATTCCAAAAATTAGTAAAAGCTAAATATAAATTAGAAGTTTATTTTTTTATTGACTATTTAAATGGTCTAAAAAATGACCCATAAAAATAATCTATCGAGCGCTAACGAACTCAATATGAGCATTTGTCCATGGTTTTTCCGGATACAGCCCTATATAAAATTAATAAGAAATTATCTATAGGTATACCATAATTTTTACATTTTCCCTATTGAGACCGACAGCAAATAAATCAAGGACGGATATTCCTATTATAGGCCCATAGTTGGGATTTATGTTTGTTCTATAGGGACCCTATAGAACAACCATAAATCCCAACTATGGGCTATACATACCGATACACCCTATAGAAACACCATACAATCCGATACAAAACTCTATCGGTTTGAACAGGGTCTCTATATGACATTTTAACCGGGGATGTTTCATCTTCTGATTTTGCATTTATATCAATATTATTTTAACCTTTAAAAGGTTGCATCTAAAATACTGTCTATTTCAATGTTTTACTTTGCGTCATTAATTTATGAACAAACCACAAATATTACAATTTGCGTATGTCAAAAACAGGTTTTTGACATTTTAAATTAATGACGCAATGTAAAACATTTAAAAAATAGACAGTATCGTTCATTTAATTTTGATCTTAATATAATTGACGCTACTTTTAGTTTTTAATAATAGTATATTGTAAAATGAGTGTCACGTTTTTCCGCAGGACACCGAAGCGGAGTGCGGCAATAGTCATTGTAACACAAGTGCTTTATACTACTTTGTCTATTTTGATTATAATTTATCAATATAATTGAATAAATTAAAAAAAGTACTTTACTTCATGTAACTAGGTTGGCACAATTGACGTGAAGCAAAATGTCACAATTAAATATGTCAAAATAAACGTAAAATTGTTTTTTTCTGTTTTTATGCTTCAAAAGGCTAGACAGATTATATTTATTTACATTTTATTATACAATTTTAATAAACAAACCCAGAACGGCGGGGTTTTAACGCATCGTTGACATATTATGTAGGGTTGCCAGGTTCTGTAAAAAAAATAGTTTAGTGTAAATTAACCTTAACAAAAATTACACAAAATAACGTCAAATTGACAATAATTATTTGCATTGTATCATTGGGGTGACATTCACAATATCGAAATTCATTATATCGAATTCAAAATATCGAACACTTTTTATCGAAAATCAAAATATCGAAAATACAAAATGTCGAAAATCAAAATATCGAAAATTCAAAATGTCGAAATGAAAATATCGAAATTTTATTTAATCGAATTTTCAATTTATCGAAAATAAAATCTCGACCGCTGTCATACAGGCAGGGTTGCCAGTTCTACTGATTTTTCAGTAGATCTACTGATTTGCTGATTGATCTACTTATCTACTGAACAATGTTCTAATCTACTGAAAAAAAATATGAGGTTTATTTATTTATTTATGGTTATCAATAATACATCAATTACATTTATCTTGCATTAAATTCCGAACGCTCTATTTAAATACATTTACAAGCACTATTTCGCGCTTGATATGTTGGTAATACTGACCACGGGCCTCGAGGAATCCCCGTCGGGGATTACGGGGGAATTATGTCAAAGACTCTTTGACAAAGAGTAGAGGTTATGTCAAAGACCACGGGGACGGGGACTTCGTTTCCGTTTATAATAAATTCGGTTTATTGAATTATAATAATTATTATTTTATTTTTAATTACATATTTTTTTTTTATTGTGCAGTTGCAAAAATATGAGGTAAGTGCACTTATGTAATTTTAAATAGGTATACCGTATTATCTTTTAGTTCAAGTGAGGACTATAACTCTGAAAATGAAGGTTCCGGCCCGTCAAAGAAAAAAAATTAATATGAGCAACGGAATTCGAAGGAATGTTTATTTTATTTTTTTAAATGAAAATGTTTGGTTATAATTGAGGTTATAACACATTTTTTGTTGCTATTTTGTTACCCTTTGTAACTTATAAATAAATACATATTTTTTCGACGTTATAGTTTTATTTTAGTACCCTTTTCTGAAATTTGTAGAGCAAAAAATAAGTCTACTGAAATCTACTGAATTTTTGGCTACATATTTACTGAAGGAATGAAAACCGAACTGGCAACCCTGCATACAGGTTATGACGAATAGCTGTCATCTTGGTTATGCAGGTAAGGTAAGGTGGGGTAGGTTCGGACATGGGGCACCTCCGGACAAATCAAATTTACCGCCTTAAAGTGCTACGAGAGTTTCCATATTGACAGTAAATATCCTTCTACACTAATAGTTCTGTGGTCCGTACATGTTTAGCGACTTTGATCACTCGACAACTATTTATTTGAGAAAATATAAAAACATAGTTATTCTTATAAATTTTATTAGGGCTATCGTAAGCTTTCTTGGCTTGAGAACACCAGTAAGGTAAGTTTTATACCTTTTACCGCAGATATTAGTATCTTTGGCGATACATAACCTCATAAAACAGCATCAGTTAACCATGTGCAAATTTTTATTTTGATATCTATGTATTTCTGGAACATGGGGCACGTTCGGACAAATCGGGTGGGGCAGCTTCGGACTGTCCGAATGTGCCCCATTTTACAAATAAAACCCAGTTTTGATTGATTTAACTTTCTGGGATGGTACGTAACTAATTTAAAAAGAAAAAAGGTAAATCCAGAATTTATACAAGCACACCGGAAAAGGAAAGAATTCAAGAATTGGAAACAATAAGAAAACAAAAGTTGGAGAAAAAAAACACGAAAAGAAAAGCATTACAAAGCGAATGTGAAGTGAAGAAAAATGATACAAAAGTTGGGGAGAAGAGCAAAGGAAAGGCGCCGAAGAAAAAGTTAAAAAAATAGAAAGTGACTCCTCGGATTCTGATATAGATTTACCACAGAATATTGTGCATTCATGAGACAAAAATTTTTGATTCCGATTCTCTGGACGAGTTTCAAGACAATGACGATGTGCTCATGCTTTTGCATGATGACGTGATCCATTGTCATGATTATTTGCTTGTCAAATACCCGACCAACAGAAGGACACTTCATTATATCGGCAAGGTAGAATCTTGCAATAATGAAGGCTCTTACGTCTTAAATTTTTTGAGGAAGTATAAAAGCGGTTTCCGCTTTCCGGACTTGCAAGATATTTCGACTGTTTCCAGAGAAGATATAGTTTCGAAAATACCGAAGCAGCACCAGAGGCAGCACCAGGAACTTCAAGGATGTGTTCGCTCTTTAAATTTAATGTCAATTTTGATGGTTATAATGTTTAATAAACTTTTTCTAATATAGTCTCTTATTCATTCTAAAAATAAATAGGTTCTAAATTTTCTCAGGCCTGTCCGAAACTACCCCACTACTTGTCCGAATGTGCCCCAATATGGGGCAGATTCGGACAAATGCATTTTTTTAAGTAAAATATCACCAAACGAAAACCACTTAATATTTTTTGCTTAAGATAATGCTAAAATGTTGGAAATAGACTAAGCTATCCGTAGTATTTGCATTAAGTCTAAAAAAATTTGTTATCTTTAAAATATTAATTTTTGAAAAAACGTGTCCGAACCTACCCCACCTTACCTAACCTTATTATATGGTATTTACATAGGTTTTCTTTATTTTGTTACATAATTATAATAAAACATTTTAATATAATAGTTATATAAAAATGATCCGTTCTTGTTATATTTACATCCCTACTATGTCAATGTTTTATACCTACATTGTAACAATGATGTATAAATGTTATATATTAATGTTTTATAGTATTTATATAGCCTTTTTATCTTACTAACGAACTCGTTTAAACGGTTGTGTCGAGTGCTCTCTATTGTGTTTTAAGTTAAGTTAAATTTGATTCCATTGTTTTATAATAAAATGGAACAAAAAAATAGAAAAAAATATATTTCCCTATCCCGGAGGCAAAAGCGGAGGAGAATTAATGCAGATCTTAAAATAATGGGCGTGGAGGTAAGAAATTGTATACAAAATACCCAAGACAATGTGGAAAGTGTACCTTTGCCAGAATATACTGACGTTAAAACCGAAGTATTATCTTCCCCTAACCAGCCAATAAATAAACAGCTCAATAAAATTATTTTTACAGAAAATTTGGTAAAATATACAGGAGGTCATAGGGAAAACTCCCATACTTTTGTGGAAGATTTGCAAAATTTGTGTAATAGATACTTACCTAGTAAACTTTTTATTAATGATCTGTTAAAAGTTTTGAGAAAACATTATTGCAAAAAGAAGTAGAGGCTGCATTTGTAAGTATATAAAGGGCGATTTTAGACCTGTTTGATAAAGTTAATTTGTTTTTAAAACAGGGTGCTAAAAAACAAGCGACAAATTATAATTTAATGATATTTGGTAGCCAAAATAAGAGTTTAATATTTATAAATTTTTAACTTTATACTGTTTTTTCAACTGGTAAAGGATACAATAATTTTGCTAAATAAGATGGATACACTTTTTTATTATAATTGTTGTGACAATTAATTTTATGCATTTGACTTGAATTAATAAAATAAAACAAATAATTATTTGTACCAAATATCATTTACATAACTACATAAAGAATAGTTGTTCTTTGTTTTGAAAACAAATCAATAAACAAAAATAATATTAAATAGTATTTTTTTAAGTTTTAGTATATAAAAATGAAGTCGTCTCCGAAAAAGATTCTACAGTAAGAGATTAAAAAAAAAAATCTTCTCTAATAATATGGCAAAAGATTGCTCTTGGCTAGGCCTAAGAAACAACAAAAAAATACAAAATTTAAAATTTGTTGAAATATTGAAGGGTAAAAATGTAAGTTTTATGGCTTTTTTTATTAAATATTTTTTTTTAAGCTGCTGTTTGCACTTCAACAGACAATAATTTTGAAAACATAGTTACCGAATGGTTCCGGCAGCCCAAACAAAGATTTGTGAGGGAAACAAAAAACCCATGAAAAGAAGGTATATTAATATTAAATTCATGAGATTGCTTTCTCTTTTTTTACCATATATTTTTTAGCTTTGAAGTATTAATGTACCTATTTGGTTTTTTTTTGTCAAAGTTTGAAAAAATTGAAAAACTTTTCGTTTGTAAAATTAAAGTGATTTTTTCATATTTAACAATGTTTGTTTTTAGATTTATTTGACCCGTTAAGAAAGAAGAAATGATTTGTTTTTTTTTTAATTAAAATATTTTTTAATAAACATTTTTAACCAATTTGTGTTTTTTTAAATCTCTCAGAATCATTTAATTCTGCAATGTTTACTTATTATTTATGTAATATTTATTTATAATTTATTTAATATATTATCTAACTGGCATTAACAATTTCTTAGTTCTAATTTGGTTTTACTTATGGCAATTTTAAAATTTTGTTGATTGTTTTTCAAAAAATTTGCCATAATACCAAGTTAGGGCTAAGCAATTTTTAATACTGGTATTAAAAATTGCTTAGCCCTAACTTGGTATTATGGCAAATTTTTTGAAAAACAATCAACAAAATTTTAAAATTGCCATAAGTAAAACCAAATTAGAACTAAGAAATTGTTAATGCCAGTTAGATAATATATTAAATAAATTATAAATAAATATTACATAAATAATAAGTAAACATTGCAGAATTAAATGATTCTGAGAGATTTAAAAAAACACAAATTGGTTAAAAATGTTTATTAAAAAATATTTTAATTAAAAAAAAAACAAATCATTTCTTCTTTCTTAACGGGTAAAATAAATCTAAAAACAAACATTGTTAAATATATATATTACATGAAATATATATATATATATTACATGAAATTGTATTTATAAATATTTCATAAATAATATGTAAATATTGCATAAATTATATATAGATAATAAGTAAATATTGCATAAATAATAAGTAAATAGAATGCAACATTTATGTAAATAGAATATAATTGTTTTATCAGGTTTACATAACTATGATATGGCGCTGTAACATTAGTTACATAACTATGATAAAACACTGTTACGTCACAGTTACATACCCAGGAAGGGGTCTTGAGGCGGACATATATGTAATGGCAATGCTCCTATAGGAGCATTGCCATTACATATAGGTGACATTGCTGTTGCATAGTAAGGAACAATTTTTATGTAAATGTTATATCACTGTGACATGATTTGGTTTGCTGGGTATTTTCGACATTTTGAATTTTCGATATTTTGATTTTCGACATTTTGTATTTTCGATATTTTGATTTTCGATAAAAAGTATTCGATATTTTGAATTCGATATAATGAATTTTGATATTGTAAACGTCACCCGTATCATTGTGTCATTTTTGTAGTTAAGGTAAATTCACACTAAACCTCTCTATTTTTTTTACTGCATCTAGGAATGGGTGAAATGAAAATTAACCATTTTGGTTTAATGAATTTAAATTTCACCGTACAGTTTACAAGCAGATATAACGCTGAACAATCGACATATCTAAAATGTATCGCCTTTGCCAAGGGGGAGATGAGAAAGTTTATCCTTACCCCCCCCCAAATTTTAGCAAATGAATTTCAAACTTATTTCAGGTTATTAACAAGTTATTAATATATGTACCTATGTATTTGAGGCAAAGAAAGCCGAGGTACTAAATTTGACCCTGAAGCTTTCTGAAAGGTAAATATTAATTTTTGTAGCCTTTTTTATTTATTACCAATATTAAATATAATTTAGTGAATTGCCCTGTATACTGAATCTGTAATTGGTTGTACGCGTTTTTTTATTAACCAATCCCCACCCGGAACTTTCTTCTAGCAACGGCCTTGCGTGTGTTATAATCTTCTTCGACTGACTTAAAAATAAAATAACGATAACAGGAAAGTATTATACTAGCAGTCCAAGTAGAAAAATTTTACCATATAAAACAAATATGATCCCGAAAAGTGCTTCTAAAATTAATATAGTTTTAACGGTAACAGTTGTATAACAGTTTTATTTATTGAATGCATTGAGTGCATTATATACAATGCAATCATAATCAATGCAATCAATAAATTTAAAAAAAATCGTTTTAAAATTTGATAAAATCGATAACAAAACTATTACCCTCCCAACGATGTTTTCCACACTTGGCCCTAGTAACTTTTATCCATAAATTGGATAAAAAGTATCATTTGAAAGGTGTAAAAATGTTGGCGGACCATGTAAATGTATCGCCCTGTGCAAAAAAATTAAAAGAAAATTTATGTTTTAACTCCCATGTATAATAAAAATTCCATACTAACCCACTAAGCAAAATACTGTTGGGCGAACGTTGCAGCGATGTTAACAGTAACGCTGTAACGTTAACTGGGGGGTAACATTAACGCCACTTAAACATTACAACAACGGTTAATGTCCGCCTCATGAACGTTTCAATGTTACATTGCATAGGATTAATCCTATGGGAAATGTATTCAGGTGGATTTGGTTAGATTTTACGTATATTGTAGAACATGACCCACTGATTAAACGTTACCATTGGCATATTCTCGCAAAATGGTAACTTTTAGAGATAGAAGACTAATGGTAACTTTGATCAGTGGGTCAGGTTCAACAATATACGTAAAATCTAACCAAATCCACCTGGACTCATTTCCAATAGGATTAGTCTAAATAAGGCATAAATTAAAAATTAATAAATCTACTCTAATAACTTTGCATCAATTATTTCGAAAGTTGAGTAAAAAATGTATACATCATAATATGATTCATTACCTCTTTGAGTTGCCACTGTAAGGTGTCAATCTTGGATTGCTGCAAAATATTATCCACCGGAATAGCATTTGATCTAATTGAACAAAGCGAGGACCTTCTAATACTGCCACCGATACTTCCACAAGACATGCGTCTACTTTCTTCTACGCCGGATCTGGAAGTCTAAAAAACATTTTTTTAGAAATAATTTAAGAGTGAATGGCTAAGTATTTACATGCATCATTAATTAGGAGGACTCAAGTTATTACTGGCGAAATATTTTAAAATAAGAACTGTAAATTTAACAGTTAACTTGTAAAACTTGAATGTACAAAATTTCTGGTTTAATGGTGCGCGGACTAATTTTTTTGTAAAAATAAATCTTAGTGCATGCATAATGCATTATTTCATTGTATTATTTTATGAAATCAAGATAGTGTATTGAGTTTGTTAAATCTGAAATATGTATAATTGATTGATTATTATTGCCATTTAAATACTATTTCAAAATTTTATCAAATTAGAAAATTAAGAATGTCTTGTATTTTTAAATACAGGATGTTTCATTATTAAATGCTGATACTACATGGGATTAATCCTTGGATGATTTTAAGGAAACAGTATTTTAATAACCGAGCGTAAAATCTTAGCAATTACTCCAGACGATGAAAGTTTTTAAGTACTTGCGATTCCACGCGACGAAATCACTATTATTTTTTGTCAAGTGATGCTAATTTTAATTTTAAAACATACTTTATAAAATTGAAAAAACTTATGTCATAATTACTTAAATCTGCCGTTTAATTATTCAAATCTGTTTACATTTAAAGTCAATCAATATTATAGTTTCATAAGTTGACAGTTTGTCAGACCTATAATAGGACTAATACCTTGTCATTTTTTTGGTTATGGTGTTGCCTTTAATATAATATTTTAACAGATTCAAAATGTGAGTCAAATTACATTTTATAAATAAAATTATTTAAATTAAAAACATTTAGTCAAACTGCCTAAATTGAGATTTAATTGTAAAATGGTTTCTACAAATTTTTTTATTATCATTTAAAATTAATAACATACAGTAGTTTGAAGTCTGTAGTTTCAGATCTGAAATGAGACCTTTATTTCTTTTATAATCCACTAGCATTTGGTAAGCCTACTTTAATAATTTTGTTCTCAAGGCATCATCATAAAAAACAAAAATATAAAATATGTAATAAAGTCATAATCCTTGTTGATTTCTTTCAACAATAGCTTTACTTTATTGAATACTTACGCATCGTTGAAATTAAATAAATAAATAAATCACCATACATTTTTTTGGACTGAAATATTTTTTATCATTTAAGAAAACAATGTTGTTTTGATTCCATAGTAAGAAAGACATTCTTGAAAGAATAATTCTAGACTTGCATTAATAATGATCACCGTATAGGGCGCTTGATCGGAAGTAAGAATGAAATTTACATTTGTTTACCTTAAAAGTAACGTTTTCCGGCAACATAGACAATTTAAGTGTAAACTAAATTAGTTTACACATAAATTGTCTATGTTGCCGGAAAACGTTTCTTTTGTAACTTTTAATGACATGATATTTAATAAAAATGTTAGCTACGTGTTGTTAAAAATTGTTTATAGCAATATCGGTTGAACCTGTGGTTTCACGACAAAATTTACGAAATATTCGAATAAACCTAACAAATTTCAAATTGAAGAATATGTAATACTTTTTTCTACTCCTATTACGGAATATGACCGTTCTAATATTACGTTTTAATTATCTTCATTTTATGTTACAGAATATTCATTCAATCACCGATTTCAGTCTGAGAATATTTTGGACCAATCGCCGATTGGCAATCAGGTTGGGATATTCCAAAATCACCATAGTCGCAGGTCGTATAAAATCTAACATCTCAAACGGGTTATTTCTTTCTTTGTTTTTTTAAGTAGTTTTCATAAGCGTAGAAAAAGTGTATATACAGTAGGGTGTCCCTTATTTTTATTTTTTTTACGCATACCCTCTAATTATATTTATTACGTGTTTATATACTTCCAGTAAAAATTTCAGCTCATTCTATAAACAGGAACCCGTGCCGACTTGCATTTACACCCTCCGTTAGCCAACGTTAGGCGCGCGCGGTATTTTGTAACACCAAACACTTTAAAAATAAGATATACTTTATGACTGTATTTTTCTAATGATTTTATTAAATATGATTACTAATTAATATTATTGCTTTTGTTTCTATCATTTGTATCACTAATTGTTGATTTTATCCCTTAAATATATTAATATACTAATTAGTATTGCTAAAATATACTGTTATATGACATTTCAGCTTTTTATAAGCATTTCTTTTCTTGATGCCCTCCCAAAAATATTTCAGACAGTTCAATAAGTTTTCGGTAGTCATCTCTCACAATAGACTCTTTTAGTTATTTAAAGTAAAACCCATTAAGTTTATCAATTTTAGAGTTTACGGCCTATTCACCAGACCCTTCCGGATAACTAGCCACTCCCTGTGAAAATATACATTTTTATCAAAGTATACACATAAATAAAATTATATTTTAACATTTGTCAATAATTTACAAACACAAAATGACTTACGATCGAAGACCTCGCGACCAACCGTGTTACAAAATACCGCGCGCCTAACGTTGGCTAACGGAGGGTTCAGATGCAAGTCGGCACGGGTTCCCGTTTATAGAATGAGCTGAAATTTTTACTGGGAGTATATAAACACGTAATAAATATAATTAGAGGGTATGCGTAAAAAAAAATAAAAATAAGGGACAAATATATTAATTGTAGTAAAATTGTCGCAAGTACTTTAAAAGAGCGTTCAAACATGTATCAATCGCACTTAGTTAAGTTATAGTTAAGTAAAATTTTGCCAAGCTATAGGAAATAGTATAGTATATTAAAAATATGACTTCGTATATACACTGTATACAGTGTCAACGAAATCATATTTTTAATAAAAATTTTAAAGTTTTAAATTTTACGGCAAAACGGTTAAAGTTAAAAACTTAGTAAGATTTTTATAGAAAATTCAATTTCTATAATTATAAATTATATAAAAATTCATTTTCTATAATTATAAATTATATAAAAATTCAATTTCTATAATTATAAATTATATAAAAAGGGTTCTTTGCAATAATGCAATAAAATGTTTAGTTTAAAAGATATAGAGTATATTATGTATAAAGCTTGATAAACGCCATTTTAGACTCGAATTTAATTTGGGCACGAGCGAGCTTGCGAGCAAGTGCTTAAATTAATGAGTGTCTAGAAAAGTTTATAAACGAGAGACTTTACTTTTTCTACGACAAATACCTATTATTATCTAAAAAATGATAGATATAAATTAAATATTTCTATAGAGGGATCTATAAAACAATAGGGGAATCTGTGTTACCGTCAAATGTTAATTTTGGTGTTTTAAATTAAAATATATCCCTTAAAAATGGATTAACAACAGTTTTTCACAGTAAAAGTGAAGAAAATGTTTTATAAGCACCTTACAGTTGAGTCCGAGTCCGAATTTAAGTTATATCTAGTTTACTGCCGGCGAAATTAAAAGGTCAGTACAATGTTCATATAAACTTTTCAAATATTGGCGTTGAGAAACTGTTTAATACTACTGTATTTTTGTATTGGGATAATAAAATAATTTTCACATTTAGCATTATTTTACAAGAAGGGCACTATTCTAAGGATTGTATGACATTTGACAACTGTCAACTAACTTCAGCCCGTGACTAAAACGCGATAAAGCCACAACTTGTATTTAAAAGGTCACTTGGGGCCGTATACTGATTTACGCATATACACTGATTTAAGTTTGAACCAATTTGGCAACATAGCAAATTTTAAATGATTTGGTTTGAAGAGGATTGCGGCAATATAAAACATACACAATTGGGTTATGTTCGCACTTTGCAATGTGTTCTGGTATAAGTAAAATCGCATTAGAAGGTATGAAAATTACGGCTTAAAGCCTCTGAAAAGAACAAATAAATTTTGTTGAAGTTGGTGGAAAATTTATTTCAGTGTTTGTTCTTGTAAAAGATTAATTAATTATATTATAATTATAATAATGATATTATAGTTATAGGAATACTAGACCTGTTTCTAAAAGGCAATGCTCATTTACCTATTCTTTTACAGGTACCAATAACACATTTTTATGATGCCAAAGAGGAAAAAAGACATAAAATTTCTGACAAGAATATAGGTAACAAAATTAAGAAACAAACTCTAGAGGATTACATATGTTAGTAAATGCTTGACATACATAAATTATGGTTTCAGAATAAACTTTTTAGGAAGAAATACTCAAAAAATGTCCAGAAAAATTGTGCTAGAAAATGGGTGGGAGGTGGAGTCTCGAAACTTTTTGTAACATGCATATAATTTACCCTTGCCTGCCCCCCTGAACAAAATCCTGGCTACATCCTTGCTGAAAATGGGGCAAGAATCCCTGCTTTTCTAAAAGCTTAAATTAAACCCAATGAAAAAAATTATGCAAATAATTTATATTGAATAATATAGGTATACCTACACAAATTTTAAAAACTGTTGCAGTTCTAGTCCATTTTTTTTACCCTGTGTATTTTATTTTAAAAATATTGTTTCGGAGCATACTTTTAATTATTTGTCAAATAAATATTACAAATGATAAAAACAATTTGAACCAAAAATATTAAAAAAATAGTTTCATACAGTGTGCCTGTTTTTGGTTTCGAGCAAAAACAATTGTTTTTACCTACAGGGTCTATGTTTTATTTTCTTATAAAATGCCTTTTAAACTTGTATTACTGGCAAAAACTGTTAATAATATTATAATATGTATATTCAATTTGAAATATCCATGTTGTTGCCCTTCTGTCCTTCCATTTTATTTTATTTTATGTTCAATAGTACTTACCTATATTTCTGAGCCCGAAAATAAATAGAGTGTAAATTTCCTCAGAAAAAAAGTCCCCTTTACCTTGTTAAGCCATTTACCCAAAACCTACTGTTTCTATTTGAAAAAATAAGTTGAACATGGTCTAAAATTTAAATATCTTCAAAAGTATTTAAAAAATAAGACAAATATTTTTTAAACACAATTTTGGTTTTATTTTAAAATCCTTATTATTTATTAAATAGTAATTTTTTAAAATTATCT